GCCGACAATACTCTGGCCCAGTATGTGTCGGGTATAGCCATCCATTGGTATTACAATGAGTTAATTGGTGCGAGAAATGTGTCAGAAATACTTGAATATGTTCACCACAAACACCCTGATTATTTTATTCTCAACACTGAAGCGTGCATTCTCAATGGCCCCGGAAATGGAAAGTGGTCTTATGCCGAACGGTTTGCTTTTGACATAATCAATGTAAGTCTATTTTTAAAGTTTTTCTGTTTATAAGTCAAGATATGATAACATTTTACTGTATTTGTTAAAGTTGGGGTTGTGTAATATACATTGATAAGTTTGTCTAAATTTTTTAAACTCGTTAAACATTAAATAGCAATTAAATCATTGGGCCGTTGGTTGCTAACTCACCACATACCGTATACTATATTCACCACCAGGGCGAACCAAACTTTCCGTTCCGACACCACCTTGGCATATATATCTGGGAGACTTCCCACTCCGGATGTTTGTCGGGTGAAAGATGCGATTGGGACAGTTTAGTAAATTTATTTCACCCGATTCTGTACGCATTGGACACGAGTTGGTGTCCAGTGTTGACGGCATATATGTATTGACTGCCAAACGGCCCGACAATGGAGTGGTAGTCGTTGTACTCAATAGAGGCGACGATAGCATGGAATTGAATGTGAATTATCAGAATAATTGGGTCACTCATGGAATACCCGCTTGATTGAGTGGTGTATGGCATATGATATAAGTGGTGGTCCCGCTTGGTTTGAAAGGCAAGGCTGTGGTGGAACCGTATATATAGACCCTCTGAAGGGTGAGGCCTACAAACAGCCCACTTTCTACGCTATGGGACAGTTTAGTAAATTTATTTCACCCGATTCTGTACGTATTGGACACGAGTTGGTGTCCAGTGTTGACGGCATATATGTATTGACTGTCAAACGGCCCGACAATGGAGTGGTAGTCGTTGTACTGAATAGAGGCGACGATAACATGGAATTGAATGTGAATTATCAGAATAATTGGGTCACTCATGGAATACCCGCTCATTCCATACAGTCTTACATTTGGTGGTAATAATCATTTTGGTATTTACTATAGTATAGTGTTATTATAAATTAGCATTTTGCTGCATTTGCGATAATATTTTCTATGATACACTAATTTGTAATAACCCATTCATTGTTTACTAGAAAATAAAATACAATTACCTATAATTAATTTGTCTGACAAACTTAATTTTATGTGATTTTTATCAATAAGCCTGAAAAGAATATAAAATTTTTATACTGTATTAAGCAAAACTGTAATGTATAGTACTGAATACTAATATTACTAAAATTATCTGTTATTGAATTTTTGTGTTATTGAACTAAAATTGAATTTAATTATAATTTACATGACATATGCACTCATCGGATGTAATACTGAATCAAAGGAAATGTACGATTCCTGAAAATACAAAAAAGTGCAAGAAACTTTTATTTATTTTATTAATATTTAACAACATTGAAAAATTAAAGCTTTTCATTTAATCAGTTAATGGGTTTAAAATTTAGGTTATTTATAAAATGCATAACATACCAGGACATTGGAAATGATTTGAAAATCTAATTAATTCATTAAGTAATCTCCAATATAATATCATATTATTATGTTTTATGCACTTTATTCATATTTTATTTTCTAAATTAATATCATTTGTAAAATAATAAAAATTATTTTATACTGTATTAGTAAATTTTTTTATTATTTATTTATTTTAATTTTTCAATAACATATTCAATGATAAATAAAAAAATATCAAATTCACTATTATTTGAATGACAATCAAATATAATACTTTTTCGTAATAATCCTTGATAACAACTAAAATATCGCTTTTAAATAAAACTCTGAATTTATTTTTATATAAATACCCAAAATGATTATTAAAAATCTGTTTCATATTATGAACCATTTTATAACACTTGTGACTAAAAATTGTAATTTATCGTAATCAAAACTAAATTACTTAAATTAATAATATAGTTAACAGTAATATTAACAGTAAAATTTTCTAATATTATTAAAATATGTACCCTAAATAAAATTCTACTAATAAGTTATTTCAAATGAAATATTTACATAGTATTTGTATTATATTAATAGTTAAACTTAATTTAATAAATAATTCATTTGGTTTGAATGGATGTGAGCGCCGGCATATCGAAGACTCGGACATCGTATGTGTCTGTAACAGCACTTATTGCGATGACTTCCCACCGATAGTGCGACCAAAAGTCGGTTATGTATTGGTCTATGAAAGCAACAAAAACGGCGATCGTTTCAAAGAAAGTTCACTTAAATTCAAGTCTTTCTATGGAAACAAGAATTGTGTGAAAAATAATTGCCTTAAAAAGGGTAAAGAAAATCAAATCATAATATCTGTGGATAAGAATCATAAGTACCAGAAGTTGTATGGCTTTGGCAACGCTTTTACCGACTCAGCCGGTTATATGTTGAGTTCAGTCGACCCATCCCTGGCCTCCGCTATAATAAATAGCTATTTCTCTGAAAATGGTATTGAATTTTCTTTCGGAAGGGTTCCCATCTCTGGTACCGACTATTCCCTGCGTCCCTATACTTATGATGACGTCTATAATGACTATACATTAAAATATTTTTCCCTACAAAAAGAGGACTTTGAATATAAAGTATGACAGACAACGAGTACACTTTAACTGACAATTAGTTGGATTATGAACTAAATTATATTTTATGAATAACACAGATACCATACATAAAACAGGCACAGAGTGTCTGTCCACATACACTTAAGCTGATTGGCAGTAACTGGAGTCCACCCGTTTGGATGAAACAAATTGAAGAGTTTATAGCTTTCAGTGAACTTAAGGGAAATGTCGGCGGACAGTACTATCAAATTTTGGCCAATTATTTGCTAAAGTATGTCACCCTAACACTTATAATACAAATATTATTGCACTTAATTATTTTCTATGAATTTTATCACTTATTCATAGATTTCTTGAGGCTTACAAAGAGAATGGTATAAACTTTTGGGGACTGACCACTGAAAATGAACCGGTTGACGATCATAAACTTAATAATTTAAAAATGTCACCTGAGCAAATCAGATATTTTGTTGAACATAACTTGGGCCCAACTCTCGCAAAAGCGGGCTATAATAAGAATAAACTAAAACTAATGATTTTGGACGACAACACACCATTCCTGGCCAACTGGACGGACATTGTTCTGGCCGACAATAGACTGGCACAGTATGTGTCGGGTATAGCCAGCCATTGGTATTACAATGAGTTAATTGGTGCGAGAAGTGTGGCAGAAATACTTGAATATGTTCATCACAAACACCCTGATTATTTCATTATCAACACTGAAGCGTGCTTTATCGATGGCCCCGGAAATGGAAAGTGGTCTTATGCGGAACGGTATGCTTTTGACATAATAAATGTAAGTTTATTTTTAAAGTTTTTCTGTTTATAAGTCAAGATATGATAACATTTTACTGTATTTGTTAAAGTTATGGTTATGTAATATACATTGATAAGTTTGTCTAAATTTTTAAAACTCGTTAAACATTAAATAGCAATTAAATCATTGGGCCGTTGGTTGGATTGAGTGGAATATGGCACTGGATCTGAGTGGTGGTCCCACTTGGTTTGAAAGGCAAGGCTGTGGTGGACCCGTATATATTAATCCTCTGAAGGGTGAGGCCTACAAACAGCCCTCTTTCTACGCTTTGGGACAGTTTAGTAAATTTATTTCACCCGATTCTGTACGTATTGGACACGAGTTGGTGTCCAGTGTTGACGACATACACGTATTGACTGCCAAACGGCCCGACAATGGAGTGGTAGTCGTTGTACTCAATAGAGGCGACGATAACATGGAATTGAATGTAAATTATCAGAATTATTGGGTCACTCATAGAATACCCGCTCATTCCATACAGTCTTACATTTGGTGGTAATAATCATTTTGGTATTTACTATAGTATAGTATTATTATAAATTAACATTTTGCTGCATTAGCGATAATATTTTGTATGATACACTAATTTATAATAACCCATTCATTGTTTACCAGCAAATAAAATACAATTACCTATAATTAATTTGTGTGACAATCTTAATCTTTATATGATTTTTATCAATAAGCCTTGAAAAGAATATAAAATTTTTATATTAAGCAAAACTGTATGTATCGTACTGAATACTAATAGTACTTTAATTAATATATAACTATAAAGATTATTAATAATTGTTTTGGGTTATGAACTGTTTCACAACATTTATGAATGATTATAAAAATAAATTACTCAATTCAAACATATTTAAAGGCTTAAGAAAATGTATACTATTATTTTAATAGTAGCTTTAATTAAAAAATTGTATTATTAATCATAAACTCTGTTAATTGTAACTTGAGCATTAAAATTTCTTATATTTTAATTATTGTAATTTGTGTTAAAAAATTACAAATGAGATATTTACACAGTATTTGTATTATATTAATAGTTAAACTTAATTTAATAAATAATTCATTTGGTTTGAATGGATGTGAGCGCCGGCATATCGACAACTCGGACACCGTATGTGTCTGTAACAGTACTTATTGCGATGACTTCCCACCGATAGTGCGGCCAAAAGTTGGTTATTTATTGGTCTATGAAAGCAACAAAAACGGCGATCGCTTCAAACAGACTTCCCTTCAATTCAAACCTCTCTCCGGCAAAAATAATTGTCTCGAAAAATGCAAAGAAAATGAAATCACAATATCTGTGGATACGAATCATGAGTACCAGAAAATCTATGGTTTTGGCAACGCTTTTACCGACTCAGCCGGTTATATGTTGAGTTCAGTGGACCCATCCCTGGCCACTGCCATCATAAACAGCTATTTTTCTGATAATGGTATTGAGTTTTCCTTCGGAAGGGTTCCCACCTCTGGCGCCGACTATTCCCTGCGTCCCTATACTTACGACGACACCTATAATGACTTTACTCTCGAAAACTTTTCATTACAAAAGGAGGACTTTGAATGGAAAGTATGTTTTATTTCAATATATTTACAATCGATTTAGATTATGTAAAAATAATAAATTATTATACATTATGACAAATAGATACCATACATAAAACAAGCACAGAGTGTCTGTCCACATACACTTAAGCTGATTGGCAGTAACTGGAGTCCACCCGTTTGGATGAAACAAATTGAAGAATTTATAGCTTTCAGTGAACTTAAAGGAGATGTCGGCGGACAGTACTATCAAATTTTGGCCAATTATTTGCTAAAGTGAGCTTGCATACAATTATAAGCCCATCATGTTTATTTTATACAAACATATACAATATAACACAATTATTTAAAAATAAATTCTGTTTTAATAACAGGTTTCTTGAGGCATATAAAGCGAATGGTATAACCTTTTGGGGACTGACCACTGAAAACGAACCCATTGAAGATCACAAACTGAATAACTTAAAAATGTCAGCCAGTCAAATGGGTTCCCACCTCTGGCGCCGACTATTCCCTGCGTCCCTATACTTACGACGACACCTATAATGACTTTACTCTCGAAAACTTTTCATTACAAAAGGAGGACTTTGAATGGAAAGTATGTTTTATTTCAATATATTTACAATCGATTTAGATTATGTAAGAAATAATAAATTATTATATATTATGACAAATAGATACCATACATAAAACATGCACAGAGTGTCTGTCCACATACTCTTAAGCTGATTGGCAGTAACTGGAGTCCACCCGTTTGGATGAAACAAATTGAGGAGTTTATAGCTCACAGTGAACTTAAGGGAGATGTCGGCGGACAGTACTATCAAATTTTGGCCGATTATTTGCTAAAGTGAGCTTGCGTACAATTATAATCCCATCATGTTTATTTTATACAAACATATACAATTATTTGAAAATAATTTCTGTTTTAATAACAGGTTTCTTGAGGCATATAAAGCGAATGGTATAACCTTTTGGGGACTGACCACTGAAAACGAACCCATTGAAGATCACAAACTGAATAACTTAAAAATGTCAGCCAGTCAAATTTCTGTTTTAATAACAGGTTTCTTGAGGCATATAAAGCGAATGGTATAACCTTTTGGGGACTGACCACTGAAAACGAACCCATTGAAGATCACAAACTGAATAACTTAAAAATGTCAGCCAGTCAAATTAAGCATTTTGTTGAATACAATTTGGGCCCAACACTCTCCAAAGCTGGTTATGATAAGTCTAAACTAGAAGTTATGATCATTGATGACAACACACCATTCCTGACCAATTGGACAGACATTATTCTGGCCGACAATACTCTGGCACAGTATGTGTCGGGTATAGCCAGCCATTGGTATTATAATGAGGATATTGGTGGCGAAGCTGTATCAGAGATACTTGAATATATCCATGATAAACACCCGGACTATTTTATAATGAACACTGAGGCCTGTATTCTCGATGGGCCCGGCAATGGCAACTGGTCCTACGCGGAACGGTATGCTTTCGATATAATCAATGTAAGTTTACTAATCTTTATATTTAAAAGTTTTTAACTACAGATAAGGGAAAGGGTGTGTGTGAAGGGTATGCGCTTTGATAAGATTTATTGATTAAATTAATTAATATTTTTAAATTACATTTATCTTTGAATAGCAATTAAATCATTGGGCGGTTGGTTGGATTGAGTGGAATATGGCACTGGATCTGAGTGGTGGTCCCACTTGGTTTGAACGGAAAGGCTGTGGTGGACCCGTATATATAGACCCTGTGAAGGGTGAGGCCTACAAACAGCCCTCTTTCTACGCTTTGGGACACTTCAGTAAATTAGTTTCACCCGATTCTGTACGTATTGGACACGAGTTGGTGTCCAGTGTTGACGGCATATATGTATTGACTGCCAAACGGCCCGACAATGGAGTGGTAGTCGTTGTACTCAATAGAGGCGACGATAACATGGAATTGAATGTGAATTATCAGAATAATTGGGTCACTCATGGAATACCCGCTCATTCCATACAGTCTTACATTTGGTATGAAACGAGTTCCAGTGATATAGGTACCAGTACCAGTACCAGTACCAGTACCAGTGCTATAGGTAATTATATTGCAGCACCTTGGTATACTCTCATAACAATATGTGTAGTTCTACATTTAATACCGGTATTACAAATTAGTGGTCAAAAGTTGATACATTTAATATAAACATTCAGATAACATTTAATATAACAATATAATAATGTATTAAATTATAGAAAAATATTAGTTAATGGAAGTGAAGAATATACAGTATTTGTAACTGACTTATTTTAGTATACGATACTACAATACTCTGTACTTGAACAGGGTCAACTGTAAGTCCAATTATATATTCTGGTGTTGGAGTCTAAAAATGAGACCAACAAGTTGTCATTTATTATAATGTTATTCTTGTTATAGTAGTAATATTGTTACAGTTATTGTTTTAATATTGTTATTATTATACAGTATAGCATTGTATAGCACCACAAATAAAAGTTAATAAAACCAATACTTTATTAAATCTCCAAACATTGTATGAAAGAAAACAATGGTTTTAGCGTCAACTCAACCGTCCATTCATTATATGCCGGACGCGGTCTCAGAGTTAACTCCAGGCGTTGTAATCGCTTCATACGACTCACCCTTTCGTACAATTGCTTGACGTGTGGATCAGTTTCGCACCAAATATTCAATAGATATCTCTAGAGATGCGGCCATTGAGTGACAGACTCTGAGCAGTGATAGTCGACAATCGGGTCAATGGTGTCGGCCGTGTCTTCGTCAGCAAAAAACAACTCAACATTTAATTCATGCAATCATTTCATTCTTGAGATCAGTTTCAGTATAAGAATGTATTCCTCGGGAACCATGGATTGCGAGTTCAATGGAATGGATAGCGATCTCAAGATATTCGTGTATTGTATCACAAATGCTATGAATGTCTGCCAATTGGTGTCATTGAATGGAAAATGTGTCCAATTCTTGACCAATAGTTCATTGTTTTTGGTGACAATCGGTGACAACATGTGTCCGATTCAGACAATTGTCTCACTCTTGTCAACCACTTGAAGGGCATTCCACTGACTCCAAGATCTGTCACTCGATGTCTTCAATACTCTAAACCCCTTATTATCTGCCATTTCGTGACCAATTTCTCGACATTCAGATAGTCTTGTGTGGTATTACATAGTCCTCCTGAGACTCTCTGGAGGACTGTTTTTTGAGGACAATCCTAAATAAGAGTAATTTTAGGAGACTTTTAATTTATTTATAAATAAATATTTGATGGCTTCGTAACCATTTGAATTATTTTAGACTTTTATGCATAATTAGGGCAAAAATGGTCAAATTTAAGACAATCACTAAAAATAATTATTTTAATAAATAAAACAAACTATCAAATTAATTGATTTATATTTTATATTTCATACAAATACAAAATATACTCTACTTCTACAAATATACTAAAACATTTAAATCCCTTAGTTTATAAGAAATGAAATTTGAATTATTTTATATTAAATTTATCCTGTTTAATGACTAAAATATGGTTATATTTACGAGTTAATTGATGAGAATAGTTAATTAGTTGTCAAAATTGATAAATAATACAAATTATTTGTCATTATATTTAATTACAAAGGGATTTTACCTAAAACTTTTGAAAATAAATAACTATTTAACCAACTATTTGATCACTTTTAGTTAACTATGATAGTGACTACAATATAAATATCTTTTTTACCACCTAGATTTGGATGCTTTAGTTATAATGATTGTTGTAATAGGATGTCCCTAAAGTACTGAATTATAACTTTATTTCACTTAACAAATTATCAATCATTAATTGTATAACAATTGTTTAATGTTAATAATAAGTGTGAATCATATGTGATAAAGCATTGATTGTACCATTTATTGATTAATCTATTGATTTGTAATAAATAATATACAGATATAATGTCCCCAATGTACTGTACTTATCAAATATATTTTTACAATAGATATTATACTGTACTTTGTTCAAACATTTAATTCATGGATGATATGATTATGTTTACACATTGAAAGTGAAATGATAATATAAATGTTTTTTTATATAAAAGCACACAATTGGATAATCAAATTAATTTCATTAAAGCTCAAATACAAAGTTTAGAAATGGCAGCTCAAATAAAGTTAATTCTATTATTAATCGTGATTAATAATTGTACAGGGCAAGTTTATGACACTGTTGGGGATTTCAATGAAATCATAAGCCATGGATTCACTGAAGACTTGGATTCAAACGCGAAGTACAACACAATCGATGACGTGATAAAAGACGCGACAAAAGAGATGAAAGCATTCATGAAATCAAATCAAATACCCGGAGCTGTGATGGCGTTCAGTATAAACGGCACGACTGTATGGACGGAAGGGTTCGGTTATATAGATATCGAGAATAATGTCTCAACACATAAGGACTCGGTATTCCGGATCGGATCGATGAGCAAATCAGTCACATCAGCACTGGTCGGTCAGCTCATGGATCGCAATCTCATTGATCTGAACGCAGAGATCCATAAATATCTGTCAACAGATTTCTATCCGTTTAAGACATTCAACGGATCGGCAGTTAATATAACAGTCCGTCAGGTGATGTCACATACGGCGGGACTTTATAGGGGAGTAAGTGTTGAAGATTTCGACAAATTATTACTAAGACGTGCCGACAANTTAATTATTGAATAATTCATTTTTAATGTATAAAAACTTTCTACAAGTTTGCTAACAACTCCCAAAAACTATTAATTAATAGCAATGAGTGGTTATGTTATTTATAGTGGTGTTTGGGGTTTTTAAACCGAGGGTTTTGACTGATTATTGGAAATATTAAATTATTTTTTAAACGATAATAATATTATATATAAAAATATATTTAAAAATATTTATTTATAGTCTTGAGTTTGTTTTTGTTGTTGTGTTTAGCTAACGAGTAACGACTTATGACCCCTTTCCCTACCCTTTAGACTCAGACAACGTATTTAATAAATACAAATTGAGTTCATTTAATGCAATCATTTTATTTACACCATATATGCTATGATTAGATTTAGATATTATGTAAAAGTGTTGTTAATATCCTATTTAATTGGAATATTTTAAATAAATATTTTGTTTTTTCTACAAGCTATGTTTTTATAATTTGTATAAAGATACTATATTAAATTTATATACAGTACTCTGTTATATAATATTGGGTTTAAAATTCTTAACTAATTTCAATGTTTTGTTTTAATGGTTTATTTCATAGAAGTGATCGCAAATTGAATGCATATTTAAATACATTAATAAAACAATAGGTTTACAGTTAACACATAATTCGTGTTAAATATGATTATAAATTAACAATTTAATGTTTTAATTGTAATATAGTATTAAAGTTTTGTTTTAAAGGCACGTATATAATAGGGATTATAGAGTTAATTAATAAGTTATTAATTAGTTTAAAAGGGTATAAAAGCTATTAAGTTGTACACAAAACATGTTATTCGCACGATTTGGACATTCATTGACTACTCATTAGTTTTATGACAAATTGTGTTCAAATAATGTGTGAGTTATTGACAGAGGGTTTACTGACCCATACATTACTGCCATTACAGACATGGCTTACAAAAGGGGAG